CATATATATATATATATATATATATATATATAGGTCTAACTAAAACTGAAACAACGGGTCCCTGTAAAACATTTGTGGGTTCGCATAGGCAACAGCATTTATGCTGAAGTAAATATTTTTTCCAAATAATAATAAACAAGCCTTGACGAGTCTTCATACCATTGATTCTCCGGATTCGTTTATACTCAGCAGATGCAATGGTTCAGAATGTAGCGAATACGCCCATTTCATCCGTAGTAGTGGACCTAGACCGTGAGCAGTTAAGAGCTAACTAAAGAGAAAGGAACAGTTTTTATTTATAACAAATTAACATTGATAGAAAATAAGATGTCAAGTTTATGTACATTAATAATCTATTGGTCTGCCCTTGTTCCTTAAGGCTTTTCGAGTCTCTTCGGTATGGAATCCACCAACTCTGTTATGAAGTCATTTTCTATTTTGTGCCCCATTACGTAATGCACTTTTGCCTCCAATGTCCAATGTACAGGTAGCGCATTGACCGTCCTCCTCTTCACTGAGATAAAGAGAACTTTTGGTTTTGAGAGCTGCTTGCTCCAATAATACGAACATTCAAAGCTGTGCACAAACATCACCTTGATTTATGGTTGACTTTGATTAAAATGGTACTTCTCGAAATCAGTGATTTAGCTGTCAAACAGATCATTATTATGAAACCTTATTTATTGTAATTTCTTCTGGTTGTGGAAGAATTTCATTTAGTTATTCAATAGAGCTGCTATAATAGATTACATAACGAATAAAAATGGCTCATAAACAACCGAGATGGCATGGAAATAATTTGGGATAATTCTTGAGTCATTCTTATTACAAAATATTGCGTTTTCATACTTGATAAAGGTTGCGATTTTCATATTGAGACTATTTAATCTTGGCAATCAAAGTCAGACACGTTTAATTGACACTCATGCAGACTAGAAACTACGTAGATCGAAGTGGACAAGATATAAATTATTATCAAAGCCAAAAGTATTAATAAAGGTGATATGTATAATGAAACTCAGTTTGATCGTAAAGAAAACGTTTTAGTGCATCACAATCGGCCAGTAATATATATATATATATATACCACACATTTGAAGCCAGACTGCGTATCAAAAAAATCATGTTACAATAATCTTTATAAAAAGAAAAACGTTCCATGATTTGCAAGTGGGCTGAATACTGCCAGGTTGCCCAGGCCAAGGCAGATGAACTTTCTTGAGGAATCCACAACCGGAGCATTCGGCTGACCAAAGCCTGACCCGCAAAGCAACGGAGCGGTGTGTGAAAACCGCAGTCTATTTGAAGCCCGTGTTCAGTTCATCGGATCGTACGCCCTTTGGACGGGGTCAAACGTCCGAGATGCCTAACGGAGCCCGTGACCACTTTCACAACTGGGAAGGTGTGTGTTTGCATGCCTCCTCATGGTTGGTTTGGAATCAGGGTTCTTAGACAACTGCCTTGGGTGAAATACCAGTGGTCCACCAACCCGGTTATATCCCTGGATGTCGGCTTTTCGTCCCCTCACTTTGGTGAGAAAATACCTCCGCCACGAGAAGGCAGTGAGTAGGACTTCCTGAGCAGATGCTATTCGAGACGCTTGGTTGTATGAGAGTATTTCACGAGGTGTAGGGGAAGGGTGACCAGCCGCAACCATAGACACCCACCTCGGAGGATAATGAGGATTTCGGAGACAATGGCTGTGGTCGTAAAACGAAATGTACAATAAGCTACTTTTGACAACAGTACGCTACATTTTCGATTTCCTGGGCGAGTATAGTTTCGTACTTTTAGGTGAACCCGTGGTAAAATTTGTCCGAATGGCAAAAACCTCATTCCTGTTCACCTTGTTTAAATCATTAATCTTGCCCTTCCGTGTTCCCGCGTTCGATGCTTGCATTCGACAAGCCATTAGGTAAACGTGTACACAGCACAACGAGACATACCCGTCACGGTCAGGACAAAGTAAACATGAGGGACAAGATGAATGAGAAAACTAAGTGAGACGACATTCGGTCATGTCACCCAATGTGGCCAGTTTGTCCCGGCCTACGGTGAACTTCGATCGTGAAAGCGAATACAAACTGAACAGCTTCATCCAAACATTTAGAATAATCATAAATTGATTGTATTTGACCGCGTTTCAGTTATCCGATGATCGAGGGAAGTCTACATAACTAGTAATTTCCATCGGACGCTAACAGGTGAGAGACAATGGGGCAAGGATTTTCTCTGAGGATGCAGTTCCCACGACTAGAAAAGCGCTTACCTGGAAGGTGTGATTCGTGCCAAATCTTCTCCCAGTGTTTGAATGACACGACGGCCCCAAACACACAGTCCGATGGAAATGCCAATTCCACCGTAGACGAGTAACCACAGCGGAATGGGCATCTTGGAATTGACCTCATGAGTGACACCAACAATCCATAGACCAATCAACGGACCAATTGCGTTACTGGAAAACAATCAAACGAGATAAAGTACGTACCAATGAGTTAGTTAGGATTGTGGATCAGAGAGAAAAACAAATAAACTTAATGGGTCACAACCAACGTGGAAACGAGAATACATAGAACGAACTGCATTCGATGACCTTGTATTTAGGTGCAGTTTAATATGGTACCCCGAACTGCTGGGCAGTGGTAGTCCGGTGACAAAGGTCACCAAATTATCATCCCGTTGGATGTGTTCGAATTCCACCAACACCATCTGAGTTTCCCCATTGTGCACTGTAAGTCAGCCCTTCGATTGACCGCTTACCCTTTCCTGAAAACGGTTCTCTTCATACATTCAATAAAAGAATGGTGACCGGTGCAGATGGTGAATTATCTGAATTGAAGAAAAATTCAATTATCGTTTGTGTGGAGACCGAAATCCAGTACAAATGTTCGTGTGCGACCCGACCGATATCTTATGTCTGGAGCTTATAATTGCAACATGTAGTCACCGGATCCGTTCCGTTTCATCCCATTTTTTCTGGTTCAAAGAAATAGAGCAACTGGACAAGGTTTTGATTAGACAAACCAAATCTCATCTAGTGGGCGCAAATCAGACGGACAAAAAAACCATTTGGCTGTACCGATCAGGATCAACTTTGGTATCAAACAAACGTCGCATGTATGCATTGCAGCAACTCCACAAATCTTACGGATCCGAGGCGTAGCGATTTTGTGGGAAAGATGGAAGTTGAGCGCTTAGTTTCAAAATCGATTGACCAGTGTTGTAGAGTTATTTCTAGCTTTTACGCGCATTTCGGTCATCAATCATTTTATGTTTTCCGCCTGGTTAATGTGCGATTAATGTGGACGGTGGAGATTAAGTGGTTAGGTCACCAAATTGTGACCCGGGGTCCGGGATTCGGGCCACTCCATCGTTACCCGTCTTCCATATTTCTTTATTTTCCCAAGAACCCTTTGTATGGCTGCGGACCCCTACCTGAAAGTTGACCCTACATTTATGTGTTTAATGAATAAAAATTAAGTAAAAAGATATTTACGTTTACAACTATATCACTAAGAAGCCTCCGGCCATCTATTCCCCTCTCCCACCTTTGAAATGCCGGGGTCAGTAGTGGTGGCGTGGAGGTGCGAACTACAGACACAGAACCCCACATCTACGTAAAATTACCGAATAAGCAGACCAAATGTACAAGTTTAGACAAGCGAAATCATCGAAAACCTCTTTTATAATTTAGTCTTTTTACATTGTGATCTATGAAACTGATTGGATGAGATCGTCAGATTTGATGTCCGTATGCGTGAGCTACATATCCGGCAATTTCCGCCAGTGCATCGCCAATCAAGTAAGTAATTAACAAAGAAAATCCCTGCGCCTTGGGCTTCAACTGGTGGGTAGATTTTTTTAGCACACACCTTAGTGTGATGAACAACAGACTGGGTGGAAGCGATATTCACGATGAATTGCTGTTCAGTGTTGGGAGCCGGTAACCCAAACCCCGCGGTACTTGGGCTGTCGAACCACATAAGGCCGGGCTAGTTTAGGTGTGATATTGAACCGGACGACAGTAAAGCCGCCTACCGTGGCGAAGCTCCAACCTCGGACCATAGGATCCAAAGAACGCCGGTGAAAGCGACTAAACCAATGAGAGAAGAATAACGCTGATTAACCATTTCACTATTTAAAATATATTTTTTGGTTTGAAAAGGAATTTACGAAAACATGTTCGCCTACATTGTGTGTGCGTGGTAATATCGTTGAATATTAAAAACAGTGACATTCATACATCCTATTAAACCTCAACCCAAATCCACTTCATCAGCATTTCTTCTTGGGCACGATGCTACGTACTTCGGGTCGACCTAACAAATAGCGGAAAAACAGTAACTAATATAGGTGTATAGAAGGTCACAGTTATGCAGACTGAGAACCCGAATTTTGGCGAGATGTAACATCCCCCCAAATCTATATTCGTTCAATTTCCTCAAGCTTAATTTGTGTGATGAAAGACAAGCATGAATAACACAGCACAGGGTGACTATGAAAATGTCTCATTTCATTTTGAACGTGATTATTCCGATTCAGCTGCAGTTGTTTACAACCTACCTTACATCGTTTCCACCGTGTGCGAACGAGCCGAACACGGCTGTCATCACTTGAAGCAGGGAGAACACCCGAGCTTCGCACGGTCGATCTTTGATCTGGTCTCGTGACTCGGGTTCCTGATGATCGTACGCGGAAAGGGAACAACAATATTGGAGCATTCGTTTGAGGGTATACGGATGTGGTGGAAACCGGACAGAAGTGCAATTAAACAAAAGAGATGAATCAAATTTTCCGGTGATCCGTTGTTACAATGCGGAATTATATTATATATTATATTTCACACTTGTCTGAGGACAGACTATGTGCCAAGCAAACCATGGTACAATAATCTTTATAAAAAATAAAAACGTTTCATGATTGACTTGTGGGTTGAATACCGCCATGCAACCTTGTGTGCCGTTTTGGTTACTACTTCACAGCTGTCGATTTCGATAAAACAGCGGAAGGAAAATTGGAATTCTGAGAGAAAAAGAAAATAGAGAAGTCATAGAAACTGGGGTTACAACAATGAGTAGATACACGAGCTCCACTGTTTGCGACACTGAGCCATATTACCAAGTGTCTCTAACCACTGGTTACCAAGATCTCGCATTCCCCATCCATAGAACCTAACAGGACCTATATGACCGAGTCTCCTGATTAGGGGTCTCGTACCCTCATGCCGGGTGGTAATTTGGCCGCCCTTTCCAACCGCTTCCTGTCTAGGCAAAAACCACGCGCTGTGGCAAACGGCTCGTACTGTCAGTCTACTTGCGAGTAGGTAGCTGAATGACCGACTGTTAGAATTATCTGTATCACACAGTAGTTCATTGGTTGGTCAGAGTGAATTAAGAAAGGCTGTTTAATAATCACCGTTGTCGTTACTCCAGAGGAAAACGGTATACAAAGTAAAAAAATCATCTAGGAACCGAACGTCAGAACACATCGTTGTGACCCGAAAAGACATGTAAATTATCAGATGGATCAAATCGGTGTATTCGTGTTTTAGGTAAACTTCAATCTTGACAGGTTTTTGAGGATTCATCATAAAACTCGTCTAAACAAACGAGTATAGCTTCGGAACAAGACCAGTCGATTCCTCTGACGACCTTCCTCGATTTCTCAGGTACCCTAGGAATAATTTGAAATCATTTTCAATTAAATGGCGAAGATCAAGGTGCTTAGTCCATGATGGTGCAAGGGGCCTGATCTATTTCCTACTTCAAGTTTCGAGTTCAATAGTCGAACGGGAGATCTTCTTGACTATGCCGATTCGCCACTTCCAATTTTGACTACACTAGTAAGTAGTCAAGTGCTATGAAGAAAGATATAGAGAAATAGAATCAACTAAATTCACCGGACTGGTCATGTTGGGTCAGGCACAGAAGACACCAACGATGAGTAATTTAGCTTGTATATGAAAACTCTGTGATCCAGTGAAGTAAATCCGGTTTTACTTCATACAAATTGATCTCCCTGCTTTCATTTATCAGTTATCGGGAACGGATCCGACAAGTGGGACAACTAAAGCCTCACAACTACGAAAAAGAAACCAGACTGTAGGTGGACAAACGAAACAACTTTGATTGACCTCCGCGTGTAGCTTTGCAAGCGCGATTCTGATCTATAATTATGCAACATCGTAATTGCTTTTATTTCGACGGACAACATCAGCTATGCAATGTTACCAATAAAGTGAGATCCACTCCCGAACTGCTTCTTTTTCAGTGAAATGCAAACTAAGAGTTATATTGCGACTCGGCCCCAAAAGCAATATACCAATTGAAATGCCTTACGAATTTGCTGTTTAGGATGTGCCGCAGCATTCATTCTTGTCTCCGAAAGCTTCAGTGTGACCGGAGGTGGTTGTCTCGGGTTGCGGCTGGTCCGCCCTCCGTTGTACCTCACGAA